GCCTGATTCCGAGTTATCTTTAGTTGAAAATGACTTAAAAAAGCAAAAATGCTCACTTTCAGGAGCAAATTATTAACAAATGAGCATGGCAACCCAATTATGGTTTTCTTAACACTTCCTACTGCCATAGCTTAGTTTGTAAAAATATGACACATGTTTGAAGTTGAAACGTATGAACAAAAAATGCCAAAAATATGTTTCTACACTGTATATACGTTGCAAATTGAATTAATAATAGTTAACATTTTTAGACAATTTTTTTAAATATGTGTCAAACAGAAGGGCCACTAGATTTCAGAAGGAAATCAGGACCTAGACCTAGACAAAGATGGGTGAAGAGGCAGGTATAGAAAATTCAGCGAACAAGATTCACAGCAACTGCACTACATAGCGCATCATAGAGGTATAACTGACAAATCTGCAACATGGCCGCCTCAGACTGGGCAGACCAAAGTAAAGAATATCAAAAATTTAAGCCATGTCAAACCTATGGTACGATGGTGAAAACGCGATGGTACGATGGCTGGCGAAAAAACAATGGCACGATGATGAAAACACGATGGCGCGATGATGCGATGGTACGATGGTGAAAACGCGATGGTACGATGGTGAAATAGCGATGGTACATGGTGAAAACGCGATGTGACATCGCGTTTTCATCATCGTGCTATCGCGCCATCGCGATTTCACCATCGTACCATCGCGTTTTCATCATCATACCATTGTGTTTTGATCATCGTACTATCGTGCCATCGCATTTTCACCATCGTACCATCATGCATCGCGGGTACAGACTTCAAAATCACGATTGTCCAAACGGAGCACCGTAATAAAACATTAACTTGCAGCAAACTTAAACCAAATATTTAAATGGACAAGCAGTAAAAGTATTCGGAAGGCAGTCTAAGACACAAAAATATGGTAAAACTTATTTTTCAACAAAACAAACTGTCTGAGACAGACAAGTTGTATAAACATAGTTTGAATGTAATTTTTGGACAAACAATTTACCAAAAATGAATCAATGAAATCCAAAGTCCCGAACACTACTGTTAACAAATGCTTTCAATGTTTACCAAATATATCTCCAAAAGGCACTGAAAGTTCATCGACCTAAAGTTTTTTTATTTTTAGTGGAAAGTTTGGCTTGCTGCTTAGAAAAGGGTAGCACCGCCAATTCTGAAAGAATGAGGAGTAAACAATGTTGGGTCTATGTGAACAGTTTGAAGTTCAATCACACGTTACTGTATTGACTTTTTAAAAAAAGACTACATGTATTTCAATACCAGAAAAACCGGTAAGGTTATCGAGCATTACATGGTTGCAATGATAACATCAAACAATAACACCATCCGTTTAATACGGAATACCGTTAGGGCCATCGTGGTTATACGTTAAAATACTGAGGGCGACAATGCGAGAGTGCGACAGTGCGATGACGACAATGCGACAGTGCGATGACGAGAATGCGACAGTGCGATGGCGAGAGTGCGACAGTGAGATGACGAGAGAGCGACAATGCGAGAGTACGATGACGACTACGGAATACCGTTAGGGCCATCGTGGTTACACGTTGAAATACAGAGGGCGACAATGCGAGAGTGCGACAGTGCGATGACGACAATGCGACAGTGCGATGACAACAATGCGACAGTGCGATGGCGACAGTGTGACAGTGCGATGACGAGAGCGCGACAATGCGAGAGTGCGATAGTGCGATGGCGAGAGTGCGACAATGCGATGGTGAGAGTGCGACAATGCGGTGGCGAGAGTGCGACAATTCGATGACGAGAGTGCGATAACGCGATAGTACGATGACGACAGAGCGATAGTCTTATCGCACTGTCGCCATCGCACTGTCGCATTGTCGTCATCGCATTGTCGCATTGTCGTACTGTCGTCATCGCATTGTCGCACTCTCGCCATCGCACTGTCGCACTGTCGTCATCGCGTTATCGCATTGTCGACTCTCGCCTTCTGGTGGACGGTTCTAAACTGCTGGCGAATAAGCTGACGGTATAGAATATGGGATAATTTTACTTCTGTCAATATTTTTTTTTCTTGCTCTTTCTTTTTCTTTTTATTATTTGTTTTTTTTCTGTATACTAATAATGTCTAAATGAAATCTTAAATTAATAATAAGAATCATTTTGTATATAAATACTGAAAGAGTTATACATAGACGGAAAATGTAATAAATTGTGTGAAACATTAATATACAATGTAATAGAAATATTTCAGATGAAAATGATCTTATGTTGACATTTAAAAGATGAAAAAAATAAATAAAATCATTGTTTATTACTTGTATAAAAAAAACAAACGAAATATATTCATAGATCGTCATCAGTGGTTTTATTGTTTTGTAAGATGTATAATTAATTATATAACTAACATTGTAAATAATGATACATGTAATTAGAAATTTACGTCAACACATAATTTTTTCTATATATCTAACATAAGTGGTCAACAATTTTCACTTTAAGATTAACTTAACAGCAGATCCTACTACAATGTATAAGTTTAATTGGTCAGCATATTGTACTATAGCCAACTGACTCCGCTGGTGGACATAGTAAGACAATGTGTTTCAATGTTGAAAAACACATCTATCCATTATATTTAATCCGGAAAAAATCTTACTGTTTAGTTGTTTTTGTTGTTGTTATTTTTTGTTGTTATTTAAGGGAAACATTCAAAATTCGAATTACCAACTACCTGCCGGTAGGTAGTGGAGGATTAAGAATAACCAACTACCAGCTAGTAGGTAGTAGGTTATTTGAATATCCAACTACCAACTACCTATCAAATTGACGCTTCTTTAGATTTTTATCAATATCTAAGATCGAGCCATTTTTGTTGCTTGGTGAACATAGCGCTTTTATATTTCTTAGAGATAGTAAATAAATATGATTAAATAAAAATAAAGAAATATAAAAGATATACTAGATTTCTGTGTCCACTTGTTTTATATATAGCCAAAGTGATTTAGCTCAACCTTAAGAAACTGCTTATGAACAGAGGAAAATGATGTTTACAGTGAAGTTTTAATTTATTTTGCAATGTTAGTAAAAATTGGTTTATGGTTTATGCCATATTTTCTTCTTATACTATATGGTCAGCAGACTTAACATACGGTGCTTTAGGTACACATGTATACTAGAATCTGCTGACCAGTTAACCCATTCCCGCATAAGCATTCTGTGAAAAATGGCTGTTTTCATTGAAAACCCCCCTGTTACACAAGCTCAAATTGCTATGAAACTATAATGTCGGTGGTTTTACTCAGGTACCCATTTGTGCCTAAAATAATGCACGAAAGGGCACCTAAGGTCTTCATCCACCGGTAAAGCTGGAACGTCGCCATATGACCTATACTGTGTCGGTGCGACGTAAGACCCAATCAATCAATCAACTATGAAACTAGAAAAAATGCTTTAATACTGATCAAACTTGGCACAAATGTTTACTAAGCCATATCATTTGTATCTTAATTTCCTGTTACCAGGACAACTAGGGGACATTTCAAAATCACTATAATGTTGTGTTAATTTTTCCATCAAAGCTGCAAATTCCCGATGGGATTTTTTTCATCTTTTAAATGTCAATATAAGATCATTTTCATAATATCATATTTTAATGAAATATTTCTATTACATTGTATCTATCACACAATTTATTACATTTTCCGTCTATGTATAACTCTTTCAGTATTTATATACAAAATGATTCTTATTATTAATTTATGATTTCATTTAAACATTATTAGTATACAGAAGAAACAACAAATAAATAATAAAAAGAAAAAGAAAAAAACAAGAAAAAAATATTGACAAAAGTAAAATTATCTCATATTCTATACCGTCAGCTTATTCGCCAGCAGTTAAGAACCGTCCACCAGAAGGCGAGAGCCGACAATGCGATAACGCGATGACGACAGTGCAACAGTGCGATGGCGAGAGTGCGACAATGCGATGACGACAGTACGACAATGCGACAGTGCGATGACGACAATGCGACAGTGCGATGGCGACAGTGCGATAAGACTATCGCTCTGTCGTCATCGTACTATCGCATTATCGCACTCTCGTCATCGCATTGTCGCACTCTCGCCATCGCATTGTCGCACTCTCGCCATCGCACCCTCGCATTGTCGCACTCTCGTCATCGCACTGTCGCACTCTCGCAATCGCACTCTCGCATTGTCGCCATCGCACTGTCGCATTGTCGTCATCGCACTGTTGCACTCTCGCATTGTCGCCCTCCGTATTTTAACGTATAACCACGATGGCCCTAACGGTATTCCGTACTATCTAGCGTATTACCGTTTCAGTTAGGGTCAATATGGCGACATGGGTACAAACATTCTCCTTTTCGGTAACCCAGACCCTTACTAGCCTCACCGACTATATTACTTTTTTCAGCTGATCAATTTGGCAACATCTATAGCAATTATGTCGAATTCATTTAAGCGAAAAAGTAGTAAAAAAGTTAAAAATAAAATACCTTAATTTTTTTTTTTTTGGGGGGGGGGGGGGTGCTATTATTGACATACACAATTTTTTAAGCGGGTTGTTGGTGGCGGTTGCGTTGTATTGGTTGAACTAAAAATCATGTTTGAAATAAAAACAAACAAAAATGACGATTGATTACTAGTATTGCTTTTATTTCAAGCACTTTATAAAATTTCTTGTATTGAATAGTTTGTTTAAGCACTTGAATTCAGCAGTTGAATGTAAATCATAAGATAAATGCTATTTGAAAGTCCATTACGTCTGGTAAATAAATGTGGTTAGATATGTTGGGGTATAATATTACATAAATTTCACATTAACTGAACCTTTAAATTTCACACACACTTCCTTCTACAATGGCAATGTATTCTGTGGTTATGCAAGCAAGATGAAAACCATTAAACAGCTTATAATAATTCACCTTTGATAGTGAAACTTGTTTTGATATACATCATAATTATGGCATGAAAACAAACACGCACGTACACATTGTCTAGCGATTTATATACAAGAAATAGCATATTAATATTAGGGCTTTTCATTCAGTTTCATGCATTATTTTTATGTAAATAATGCAGTGAATTGACAAATGCAGGCATTTAATGCAATCTTTATCTTAAATGAAAAACAAGTAAAAGTCAGAAATGATAAGTGATGGGGATGTTCTATGTATCCTTAATTCTGTTATAAAGACAATGAATATACAAAATGACGTATCTAAGTTATAAGTTAATTTCATTAATTAGTCTGGCAACAAATTATTCTAAAATAAACTCATCTAAATTATTTTCAATTAATGAACAAGAGTTGACAGTTTTTATTTGCACACCGTAAAACTAAATGATATCTTATTTTAGTTTTTGACGAGTAAAAAGCCTGTAAATGTAGTTCCATCTGGCTGAATGTGAATTGGCACACTCCCTGAATTTTGGACCCATACTTCACTTCCGGCATGGACAAATACCACAACAGAATCACCGCCTGCAGTTTTTATTCCACTTTTAAACGGACACTTACTGGTGTCCATTTGAAACTCAGCGGTATTGTTAGAACCACTCGCACCATATTCTCCTCTAAAGCATATTATGTCGTCCATGATTGTGTTGTCTATTTGGTTTAATTTAGTGTTTTTGAATGCAAAATAATTGGTACTACCATAGATACGAAGCTTCGTAGTTATACCATAAAGAGTTGTCGCACTGACAGATTTGTTATTCACTCTAAGTTCTACTTCCCCATATGCGTCGGTAATTTGTATGAAATACATAAAGAGATAGACACCACTCTCTGGGGCTTTGAATATACCCGATCTATTGTCGTACCCATTCATATTATTGGTGGTAATCTCGTTAAAGACTACACGTTTATATTGTTTGACTGCCCGAGTCTTATTCGCAAGTCTTGCTGAAAAACTCACATGATGACCTGAAAGGCAAACATATTATTTATACGTATATCAAACAAAGAAAAAAACTATAAGCACACTTAACAATTCTTTTTTTACTTTGAACAGCAATCGTTTTTGATATTCACGACTATCAAAATAATCATACATTGACTGTATGTTAAGTGTTTTTCTATCTTTTTGTCACTGACGAAAAATTGCCTTTTATTCTTAAGTCAAGCGAGTATTTCTGTGCGAAAAAGCATCTGCAAATTGAATACTTACGAACTCTATCACTTCTTAGATCCAGACATTTAGGCAATTGACAGACCGAAATATCAATAAAACTCCCAGCACAAAAAATGCCGCTTGGTGTTGGAGTCGGGTTTGTGCATGTCCGAAACCGTGACTGTGAACCATTCCCGCACATGACGTCACATGAAGACCATTCTGACCACGCAGCCCAATTACCATCAACTAAAATATTTAAATTGTATTTTTTCATTACTGTAAGGTGTTCAACACGTTTTATTAAAAGGGCTTTCTAAAACCCTGCCCACTTTCCTTTGAATGAACGTTGTAACAATATTATCTCAGCAGAGGTCGTTTTTTTGAAAGTATCTAAAAATATTTCTTTGTTCACCGCAAACAAAATCTGAAGATACTGTAAAGTATACTAACCTTGATTGACAGGAATATTTATCGCAAATATGATGATAACGACAACAACTGCGACATATAGTATTATCATCATCACAAGCATAGTGATCAACAAACATTTCATCCGGTTTAGTGTATTATCGGATTGGCTAATTTTGTCTTTGATGATTTCTGCCTTTATTTCCTTTGTTCCTACCCCTTTCGTATCCAATCTTGTGTTCTCATAGATCACACTTTTGTCACTCTGCATTTTAACAAATTTACAAACACTATATTTAAATATCAAAACGGTCTAATCTACTTGCTAGACTAAATAAAATCATAGATACATTGGCTCTTATACAGGACAAATATTAATTTAGAGTTAAGTTTAAAACTTCCGTGTTTAAGATTTTTCACCAAACAAATACTTGTATGATGCACATATGTAAAATGATGTACTTTTGTAGTTTAATATGTGTATCCATGAGATCAGATCTAAAGAAAAGACTCTAAGAGTAATATAAGTAAATGCAACAAATAAGATGGCGTGCTTGGCTACGGCTTCAGTTTTTAACTTCAAACATGTTGGTTAATCTTTATTGATTTGTTATGCTGTTTAGATTCATATTTTCAGTATCGCTTTTTGCCCTACTCATTATGCACAAGCACGAAATGTTACTTCCGATTCTTAGTAAATTATTGTAATTTAAAAACAGTCTCAATGTATAGTGAAAAACTCAATGAGGATTTACGGCAATTCAAACAATAGACAGAACAAAACATTACGTTCCAGGCCATTAATAAAATAATCAGAGATAAATGTCTTCCAAACCAATTGGTTAAAAGTTTTAAACTATGGCCATAACTTGATCATGATAGTATGTCCATTCTTATTAATAAACATTGACAATAACATTTACCTCTGATTACGGAGAATAGCATGGGATAACAATTATTTAATCTGAAACAAAAGATTATAAACTTCTTTTCTTTTCATTGTCTCACAGTAATTCGTCAAATACAGAACTAGTTAGGACATTCTTCAGCTTTCGATACCATATTAGATATCCCCAGCAAACTTTAAGCATTTTTCTAAGATAAATAAGCAATTATCATAGTATAGTATTGCAAGCAGTATAAAAGTGAACTACCGGTTAGAACACCAGCAACATTCTGGAGGGCCGTGGCCATTCAATTATGCCATTGTGGAAGACATGAATAAACCTTTAATATTAAATTTCTTAGTTTAACATTTTAATGTGTTAAATTTCCATGCATTTTAAGGAAATTATGTTTATACATCAGATAATCAAAGTATTCACTCAGGATGAATAAGTCTAACTAATGTTTCAACTTTTCTCTATTTTATGTAAATTTGTTGGGAAAATTCAAAGTTCTTTAAAAGTTATCTCAGAGAACAGTTTTTAGGGATACCCAGACAAACAAACCTAAACTAAAGAGGAGATAACTCTTGAAATAAATATGCTAGAATTATGAACATCGTTATACATGATGTGAGTGGTGACAAAGAACAATTATCTTCAGTCTAAAGTAGATACCATTTATAGTAACAAAGAAGAAAAGAATTTCTAGAAAAAATCTTAAGTTCAAGGGGGACATAATTCTGGAAATAGTAAAGCTAGAAGTCGCACACATCATTTGAGTAATAATAAGGAACATATACTTGTCTGAAGCAGATACATTAAGTGACAAAGAGGTTATAGAAAGCAAACAACATTTATTTCATGAAAGTCTAAGTTCAATGATGATAATTCTGATAATATTGGTGCTAGAATTATGAACCCTGTAACATATGATGTGAGTGATGATAAGAAACACATATTTAAAGTTTGAAGTAGATCCACCCAGAAATAAAGAAGTTATTAAAAACATGAAAATTCTAAGTTCATCGTGGTAAATCAATACATTTTGATGCTAGAATTGTGAACCTCGACGTGAATAATTGGTTAATCAGTAGGGGACTAAGAAAAAGTTCAAACACTTAGCTATAGAAAATAAATGACGGAGCACATGTGATTACTAATATTGTAAACGGACCTGGACTTCTCTCGGGTATTGTGGTTAATTTGGTACACTTTGCGCGTTACGTTGTTGATTTTCTTTTTGTTTCTGGAATAAGTTTAAACATATTTTTACTTTATTTACTTTACAAAATAAATGTATCAACAATGTATTACCCTAAAATTCGATAGTAAGACTGTCTCGATAATGTGCCACCAACTGAATTAAAAAACAAAATACATCAATGTCACGAAATTGTAAAGTTTCAATTTGAAAGCTAAAATCAACTAAATCATATACCGGCAAATTAATGATTTTAAGCTGTTTTGCTTATAATAGACATTAACTTGATCGCTATTGTTATCGTTTTTAACTTGTTTAAATAAAATGCGTTATTACACAACAGCTGTTTGTAGCACAAATAAAAAATCACGGTCCATGCCCGAGAAAAAAGTAACCAATGAACGATCACCTGATTGCTATCCCTTTCTCTGTCGACACAACTTCTCTCTTCCCCTCGGTACGTGTATGTCGTTGAGAAGACACGGGGCATCGACAGAAGATTTGAAGACTGGGGACGGCGAAAAAAGATCGGAACTTATGCTGCGGACCAGCTGCCGATGTGCTGACTAAAGACGAGGGGAGTGGCCCTACAAAGTAGGCGCTTTGGTCGACGAGGATGGTGTGCTAAGATGCGTGAGCCCTCAGCACGGTTAGACAGCTTGAACGGCAGGCCGTTTGCTGGCACCAACAGCCCTTTTCAGGGCTACCCTTTCGTATTGTCACAGGTTACTGTATATTAAGGTTCTCATTGACCGCCGTACAGTGACCTACTTTTGGCTCAAAATTCATATCTTTGGCTAATACTCCGTGGAAATTGCACGGAGGTAAATTATCCCCACTTTGTGCTCCTAAATTAACTCTTTAATGGTATGACTGGTGACATGTCCGGGGTCTGTACTCGACAGCGAAAGCTGCATTTTGTGCTCGAAAGGGCGGATGAACCTTTATTAAGCATAGACTACATACATACATACATACATACATACATACATACATACATACATACATACATACATACATACATACATACATACATACATACATACATACATACATACATACATACATACATACATACATACATACATACATACAATACATACATACATACATACATACATACATACATACATACATACATACATACATACATACATACATACATACATCTGTCGACACAATAAGTAAACCCCAGAAAAAGTGATCTATTCAATGGACATGCTCGGGAGTACGGGTATCTAATACCCGTTAACGCACTGAGCATGCTTAAGTATATTACTCTGACACATTTTCAACAGAAAGGTCCCCAAATTATGATACAACCTTATTTATCTTATGTAAGGTGTTGTGATATTGTTTACCATTCGTGACAACCACAATGTATGTTATGAATATTATAAAAAAATAAATAAAATTGTGAAAATGACAATCATTTTATGTTGAATGAAATCATTGCTTTTACTTTCCAACTTCCTTCCATGTTATTCATTTGTGGCAATCATTTATATTTACGAACGTTACCATGTTGAAATTGGGAAGAAAAGCGGTAAACTATCGTTCGTGTGTATGTTTGTCTCATGTACGAATATCTACTTTTTATTTACTTTCCATAGAAAATGACATTGTTTTGTCAGTTAAAAAAGGACAAATGAAAGAAAACAGTTTAAAAAAGTTAAAAACGACAAATAACCGACAAACAACCGTTTATGGAAGGGCACCTAAGGTCTTCCTCCACCAGTAAAGCTGGAACGTCGCCATATGACATTTACTGTGTCGGTGTGACGTAAAACCCAATCAAGTAAATAAACAAACAAAACAAGTTTAATGTTATTATTTGCAAGAATGCTCCTAGGCCTGACATTAATGTAACAAGGTGTCAAAACTGTCACTATCGGTTTATTGTATAAAATAAATTTTAGAGTGGTTTAATGTTGCTTTCTGCACATTTATTTTGTGAAGAATTGAATTCTTAATTTACAGGTGAATCATGTAGTATTGACAGATTAAACGTTATAACTTACTTTATAGAATTACTTGCAGGTTAAGATACATATTGTTTGTTCATACAAAATGACTTAAATAGACCATGGTCATGAAATATATAAACAATGATAAGAATATACACAATTGAGACCACCCCGCAATTAAGACCATTTTGGTCCAGTACCGTTTGTGGTCTTAATAAAGGGTTTTTACTGTAAAAGATTTTTTTCACACAAAAGTACAATTATTTAAGAAATATATTATCACATAAAAAAAGACAGTGAAAAGGTACACATGTATACATTTTAGAAAGTTAAGGGAAGTACTGATCACACTTTCACAATTGATTATCAACAAACATACAAATATTTATCAAAATTTAGGTATTACAGCCATATTTATGCAGTATTACACTTAGATAATGGGTAAACTGTTGAAAACTAATCACAATTGAAAACAGAGCATTTCAAAACAAAGACAAAAAATGAGTTCAAGCGTTAGAAATAATTATAAAAATAACATTAACCTTCCATGCTGATATATGAACCAATCTTAAATGTCAGTTCATCAACATTAGACGACGTCGTCACGTATTAGATATCTTATCATGCATTTTTATCCAGATTTTCTTAAATCTATATATAACCTATAGGTATTTTGAATAACCGTTTCTATGCTCTTTATATGTTTGATTGTTACTTTTTGTTCTGTATTTATTCCCTAATCTTCCTTCAGTAAAATACCAGTGAAAGCGCCTGAAGTAAATGAATGAAAGTAACTATATCGCCATCCCGCATTCTGAATCCAAACTTGACTCCCTGCATGCATATATGTAATAATTGAATCACCACCTTTTGCTCGTACCCCTCCTTTGTATGGACAACTGTCCATAAATTGTTGTAATCCAACAATGGAAGAACCGGTTAAAAGATGCTTACTTTCTCTTAAGCAACTTATTTTCTCTACGGTTGCATTATCTGGCCTGTTTATGTTTGTACTTTGGAATACGACAGAATTATTGTTACTAAAGACAGAAATATCTACATACATACTGGAAAGTGTTGTCTTACTGATGGATTTGTTATTCAGTTGTAGTTCTATCTTACCAAATTCACCGTCAATTTCAATGAAATATATAAACAGATAAACACCACTCACTGGAGCTTTGAAAATGCCTGAACTAATATCGTACCCATTCATGTTATTGTACGTAATCTCGTCAAACACGACGGGTTCATGCTCATTAAATGACGGGGGTCTGTATACTTTATTAGTCAGTCTTGCAGAAAAAGTACTCCTATAACCTGAAAGACACACCTTAAATATTTTAATAGCTTTTCTTAATTCAATTGAAATGAAGACAGGAAGTCAATTTATACTGCAAAATAAAATAGCTCTCGGTTACAAGGACATTTTGCATACTTATTTAAGCAAATTATGGCTGTATTTTATATCAAAGTACGCAATGTTCCTTCTATATATTGGCGAAACAATGATTTTAAAAGTCCATTTACACGAAACCAGTATCTGGTGTGTCCGCATCGTATATAGATTTACTATGAAGTGTTTCTAAATATTTTTTTCTCCCAAATAAACAGATCACATTAACTTCTACAATTTGAATCTTACTTTTCATGTCATTAACCCTGCCATGACATTTTGGCAGCTGACACGTCGCAATATCTGTATCATATCCAGTACAAAAACGTCCGTTTGATGTGGGTGTCGGTTTTGTGCATGTCCGGAAACGTGATTTTGATCCACTTCCGCATGTGACGTCACATGAAGACCAGTCAGACCACTGGGCCCAGTTCCCGTCAACTGAAAAGTGCGAATAATTTTCAAGCTGCGTCCTTGTACCACAATAGTTATCTTCGATATTATGGCCTAATAATCTAAATTCCTCAAAGTCTAACAGAACAATATCAAAGTAAACTATACTTTCGTTGCAATGGATATAGGTGTCACCCCGGTATAGAATAAGGTCCGGTCCGTTGTAGTATAGAAAATCTTTGATAAGACAGTTAAACCTGATAATAGTAACACATATTTAAAGTTCTTAAAAAGTTGAAGGGTTGACATTATTCACATGTGTGTTAATTGACTAAATTAGCACTGACGTTTACGTTATCGTAAGCGGATATCTTTGTCAGATATATAGTATCAAAAACTGTAAAATTATTTGGCAGACATCTTTAGGCAAACAAAAAATGATGTCATGTGAGTTAGTTTAGAGGTTAATGTACTTACCTTGGTTTATGGGTGCATATATCACAAATGTGGTAATTATACCAATAACTGCAGCGTACATTAAAATCATCATCACAAGTGCTGTGTACATTAAACATTTTATCCGAGATAACCTATTGTCAGAAAGGCAATTTTCGTCTTCTACACTCGCCCTTTTAGCATCAGTTCCTATCCTTACAGTACCGGTATTTAACACAGTGTTTTCGTAGACCACAATCTCCTCGCGTTGCATTATAAACACTTTGTGAGCAATGGAGAACTAGATTTTAAGTTGACGGTTAGAGTCCAAACTTTACTTGTATCGAATAGAATATTATAATACTAGTATACCGTTTCAAATGAATGAAAATCTAAAAACTTCCTTGTTAGGTGAATTTACCTACACATGAACAGCAGTTATTAATCGAGTAATGCACACGCATTATAATAGTACAGTTGAATAGCGATGATTCAATGTTAGGAGTTCAAGTTTTCCACCGTGGCAACGCTTCCTGAAGGCACTGTAGACACGTGCCTACACTTTTTCGCTGAAATGATAGATATAATGAATATAAAATGCAATAAGGATAATGGCGTCCAGATATGTAGAAAATGATCAATAGTCATATTCGAAAACAAGTCCGTAATTGAGTTTTATCTTATTTTATAACGAAAGCGATGCCTTTTGGATGAAGCATTGACATCTTGTCTGTCATACCATTTTCCCTTGAGGTATTCATAATTTTATTTTTTGTATGTTAGCTCGTGGGTTCTCTAACGTTGAACAAAACACATAGTAGTGACGAAACCAAACAAGGTCATAAAGTCGATTTCAAATAAACGTGAAACATACTCTGTGTTAATACATCTCGGTAACGATTTAAGTATGTATTGTAACTACATTGTATATACACAAGTAAAATCTTCGTATACACAGCAAAATCTTTATTAGCACAGTGGTAAAGCGTTTGCCTTTTGAACTAGCGATGCGATTCATTCTTTTTTTCTCCCTTTTTTAAAATTACTTCACGCAAAATTGTTCATTCAAACTGAATATATATTTGAGAGTGAATAGTTCTTCCGGATTCTTTTGTTGACTTTGCGATCAGAATGACGAGCTGTTTTATTTGCGTAGAAACCGTACTTATTGAATTACTGGAGGTATGAAATAGAGAAAAACAGAATCCCTTAAGAAAGCCAACACGGCAAAATTGAAAATGTTGCAGGTTGGGTGTGATTAAGTCTGTTCATGGGCGGTAGTGATACATGTAATTGCAAGCTGCCTTCAACGACACGTTAGTGCCACATTGAAGTTTACTTTGTCTACTTTACGTTAACAATCAGTTTTATGTATTTTGTTTCACCATAAACATTAAATCGAGAATTTCATTTATAAATATTGGGTCATTATATCTTATTGATAAAATACATCAAACGCTGTTTGTGTGACAACAGATATTTTATCACAAGTTATTATTTTACTGTGTGTTCCTTTGACTCCTAGGTGTCTTACCGATTGTCCTATGACTATGTATCAAGGTGTTTTGCGACTGCTTTTAGTTAATGACCCTCTTTCTTTTTGATCATTGTTTTCATTTTCTTTCTAATTACATTTTTAGACAATCTTAATAATCACTTTAAAAGATATAAGCCTTTTTGTCGCTATGCGAATGAATTTTGATGTTTACTAAAACTTTTGCATACATTTGTTTTTATTGCATAGTTCTAGATTCATATATCGTTACTCCAACGATATACATGTTCCGCAAATGGCTCCTTTTTGCAAAAATGTCACTAACAATAGTTTTGCGCTAAGTTAGTTATAAGTAGAAACATATTTATATTGATAGAACATCTTTTAATGTTATCAAAATGCTGCAATAATAATGTATTCTCTTCCTGCTGAACATGCCTAAAATACCTCAGAATGCAGCTATGCCAATGTAGAATTTCAAAAAAATCGGGGAAGCATGCCCTCGGACTCCCCAATTACACTAGTGCCTACACATTGGTTAAATTATTATCTAGATAATTAATGAAAGTTTTAAGAGCAGTGTAAAATGTTTATTTGGAGGAAGTTTACAGATCACAAGTATCCGAGAAATTTAACTAGAAAGTTTGTTTCTGATACTCCTTTAGATTATTTTAGATAGATGTTAATCAAGATTCAAGTAATATTTTACATATAATGTGGGATTAATGACAGATTTTTCAGTATTAACGACTAAATTTCTACTGCAGTAAATTTATGCATATTTTGACCACTTAATGGTAATTTACGTGGTTTGTAAGTGCCATTGATAACGTGTAAATTGCTTCCTTTTGGTTACTTCACAATATTACACATTCAAATACATTTTCAAAATTTTCATGAAAAGTAGCATGAATCTGGAGGCGTGCTGCTTTAAGTGCATCATTTCAATCTGCAATTAATAAAGTCAAAACTAAGTCAGACACACATTATTAGAAAACATTTATAGTAAAAAATAGTGATAATAATAAAAAATGTAAGAATATAATGATCGTATCTTGTATATATAATACACATGAACCGTACCAAAATTGATTTAATAAATAGTTTTGAACATATTTCTAAATATTGACAACTTTGTTTTCCTTTTCCTTCTAAAAGTCAGTGGTATGGAATTAAATATGGTAAGTAAATATCGGACATTTTACACTTTTCAGAAATATCATTTATATTATTATACTAATTTTAGAGCGGCAAATGAGATGAAATTGTGTCTTGTATCTTTGAACTTTCGACCAGTAAAACTCCTGTGAATGTAGTACCATCTGGCTGAATGTGGATGGGCAGTCTCCCTGAATTTTGGACCCAGACTTCACTTCCTGCATTGACAAATATCACAACAGAATTACCACCTGCCGTTTTTATTTCACTTTCAAAAGGACATGTTTTGATATCTATTTCTATTTTATCAATTTTGTTAAAACCAGCTGCACTATAACGTCCTCTGAAACATCTTATTTCGTCCATAACTGAGTTTTCTGTTTGGTTTAAATTTATGTTTTTGAATACAAAAGAATTGTCTCTACCAGTTATGTAAATCTCCGTAAATATACCATAAAGAGTTGTCGCACTGACAGATTTGTTATTCATTCTCAGTTCTACTTCCCCATATGCGTCGGTAATTTGTATGAAATACATAAAAAGATAAACGCCACTCACTGGGGCTTTGAATATACCCGATCTATTGTCGTATCCACTCATGTAATTAGTCGTAACCTCGTTAAACACTACACGTTTATCTTGGTTTACTGCCGGCGCCCTGTTCGAAAGTCTTGTGGAAAAACTTACATGATGTCCTGAAAGATACGCATCAGATATTTATATCGCAAACAGAAAAAGAAGCAAACTCAAAGTTTTTAGTTCACTTTATGTTATCCGCAAACAAGTAAAGTATTGATATTAATAGTCATGACCTATAAAATTATGACATGTTTTAAGGTAAAATGTGTTAAGGACAGTCATTGAAATAACGATCCCTTTATTCAGTAGTCAATACATCTTAAAGTTTGAGATAAACATCTCCTCAAAAAGGCAAAAACAACTTACGAATAATGTCACTGCTGTCAACCAAACATTCAGGCAATTGGCAGGCTGAAATATCTGTAACTTTTCCAGCACAATGAATACCGTTTGCTGTTGGTGTCGGTTTTGTGCATGTCCGAGACCTGGACTGTGAACCATACCCACACGTGACGTCACAAGAAGACCACTGCAACCAAGCAGACCAGTTCCCGTCAACTAAAATATTCAAGTTGTATGTTTTACACACACATATATATATTTGTAATATTTGTAAGTAGGTCAAACTCTATTAAATGGCTTTCTACCCCTCCCCCACACACCTTTCACGTGGTAATTAATATATACGCTGTATGTATATACTTAGTAAAGAATGTAATGAAAATCTTTATACATATTTTTTATCACCAATGCGAACAAAATAAGCTGAAGTTATTGTAAGTATACTAACCTTGATTGACAGGAATATTTATCGAAAATATGATGATAAAGACAAAAACTGCGACATAAAGTATTATCATCATCACAAGCATAGTGATCACCAAATATGTCATCCGATTTAAGACATTATCGGAATGGCTCGTTTTGTCTTTGATGACTTCCATTTTTGTTTCGTTTGTTCCTATCCCTTTTGTATTTAATCTTGTGTTCTCATACATCACATTTTTGTCACTCTGCATTTTAGCAAATTTACTATCAAAGCCTGTTACTTTATTTTAAAATTTATATCTTTATAGACTTGGTAAAATTAGAGATAAATTGGCTGATGAACAAGTCACAGTTTAATACGCAGAATAAAGTTTTAAAACTTCCGTGTTTTAGACTTTACCTAACTCATGCTTGACTGCGTGAATGTTGGTGTTAACTCTAAGAATGTATACGAATTGTTACCCAAAACTGTGATGTTTATCAAAAACCTATGCATAAATAATGAAGACTACAAAATAGTGTAATGCATATGTAACATTTTGTACTATTACCGGTATTAAGTCTAAAATGCGTAGCTGTGGGCATTGCATTTTCTGAGGAAAAAAATCCTTCTTTAAGTCAATGTAATAGAATGTGGCTCGGCTATGAGGTTGCATGACTTGTATAGAGATACCCTAAGCAATTCTACGTATGAATCATATCCTAGATCATATTAGATTTGTTTAGGACCACCTGAGGATAATTTCTGTGGGAAATGTTCTATGATAGTAATTATAGCCTTTTCCGAAAAGAGTTTACAATGAACGTGTCTGTTATATTTAACACACATGCCATGAGTTATACGTTAACAGAATGACATCTTCCGGAGCACAATATTTAAGTATTGTTTTTAATGGGGTTTTAACTGTATAATATAATGACATTTTGTATGTTACTGAATCAGGGTCACTTCGCTGTGAAAAATGATGAAATATTTTAAAGTCATTAGCAATAAACCTTTCCTTAGGAGTAAGCACTAGCAGTTTCTGTGCACAAGAATGTGTCAAGCACTGGTGAACTGCTTGACAACTTATCGTGGAACGTTGCAGTGTCTGAATAGCCCCCGTTACCTCCCATATAAGATTATAAAGGGTAAAATTAGATTGTTTCTATACTTTTATTGTTTATTTCCGAAAGAAATTTATGACCATTAGAATGTACCTCTTACTTAACACGCATGAAAACCCTGTTTCAACAGGATTCGTAAAGATTTAGTTCAGGCGCCATTCGGTCATAGTGGTATATACAAAAATATTTCTTACATATATGTCTATTTTAGAATTATTCGTTTTCAAAATTCAACTACAGTTTTTTATCGAATGTATAGATTTAAACTTTTTAAATGGAAACATATAAAACACACACCCACACAAAAACAATCAACGTCTGGGACTCATATTTATCCGATATATGTCGACTATTTGAAATATACTAAGCTCATTTGTGATGTCAAAGCTCAACGTTTGTGATAACAAATTTCAGAGATAATTGGATTATAAATTTCTTTCTTCATGCTTTTCGAATTCCAAGACCAAAGATTGAATTATAACATTCACGCTTTATCCAATTCCGTCGAATCAGAAGATAAGAATATCCGATAATGACATAAAAATCGCCTTACAACAGTCATTCATTGTGCAGTTTGAATTTCAAGATCAAACACCACACTTAGAGCACTTCGGAATAAAGAAAAGTTTTATTTCGTTTGTTATAATTTATGGCCGCATTTAAGAATCATAGATCATTATGTGTGAGTGCTAAGACTAGTTATATATTTTTTGTCAAGTGATTTAACATACATTTTTCAAGTATTCGTAATTTCCACCATATTATATCCCTTTTTTACAAATGAAAAATTTTACAATAAAATTTAGATATTAAATCCGTGATGTTAAGCAACCATTTTGTACTCTCATACATATATTCATAATTATGTTGAATTATAAACAAGAGTTTTTCTACACTTGTTGATATATCAAATACTGGACAGTAGAAATGTTTTCAGTAAAGTATTTATTTTATTACTATTATTTCCTTCATCGTTGTCATAATCCATAAAATTCAATCTTACAATTAATAAGAATTTCTTCACAAAGCTTTTGTCATGCTTATCATAATCAATTCATGCATAAGTAATGAAGACTACAAAAAATTAATATCGCAGTATCGCTGAGCAAAAGAATTAAATCAGGAAGAGATATTAATATAAAATCAAAGCTCGCTAAAATGCATACATGGTGACACGAACATAACAGTGTGGCTCTGCATGCACTATCAAATGCACGCACACGACACAAGAATAACAAGTTGGTAGTCCAGTTCAAACGTCCTAATATGCACGTATGGTGACGTAAGCATAACAATTTTGCAGTTCAACCACCTAACATGCACACATTGTGACGTAAGCATAACAAGTTTAAGAGGGCCAACATTCACGCATTGAAGCGTAAGCATAACAATTTGGCAGTTCAAGAACCCTACATCACACAGTGTGGCGTATGCATAACAAATTAACAGTTCGAGATGGCTTACATGTTCTAATACATGAACATACCCACATTGTTACAGCATTTAATGACGTCTTCATGTGTCACGGTTGATTTTAAGCCGCTTTTACATTTACCAGCGTTAATATGTAACGCAATGTCACAATTCAATCAAATCATTTAATTATTAAAAGCGCTATCTTTATTTTTTGATAGGAGCGAAAGGAAAACAGCGTTGATGATAATAGTGCATAATAAGAAAAACGCCATTGCAATTAAATCAATGCCTGAACTGATGTGTTGCCACGTTATTTCAGGTTCATTTATGCTCGCTTTATTCTCGGCTGGAATGCTACATTCATCCTTAATGTCCACTGGTTTAACTTTGTTGTTTATATCTATCTTCTCTCCGAACTTACAAGGGAAACATAATAATATTCTGAATGTACTTCGTAGACAAGCTGGTACTTGGCTTGTCTTAAAATAAATACTCAGATTCAGTAAGGTTACCACGGTCATGAGCGTGCTCAAGATCAAAAGAATCATCAAATAGTAGCTTAGAATCGGCACCGGTTCTGACGTCTTGGGAAGATTATCTCCAACAAGGGTCATGAAGACAGCTAGAGCTAGTAACACTGTAACGGAATACCCAACTCTCTCACCTGATTCAGCTGGTAGTATGAACACTAGAATATTTATTATAGACATAAAGACTATAGGAAGAACAACATTAACAATAAGGAACTCGGGCTTGCGTTTGATTGTGAATATGAAATGTAATGTATCGGATGTGTAATGTTCGCCGGCTGTTCTTTGTACCCTGGTATTTTCCAAATCCCATTCGCCATTTTCTGTGAAGAAATCAAGCAGCACTTCATCAGCGGTAGGGTGTAAGTATACTTCTGTACCAACGTAGCTCCATACGTTAAACGATAAAATACATATCTGTAACAATAGATGCAGTATTGTTATATAATAAATTACATTTGATCTGATTAATTAGAAAGAGCTGAAATCAATAGATTGGTACGATTGACAAATGAAAGCGAAATTTTAAGTAGTTTAACGCATAATGTTATTTTACCTATTTGAATAAAGAATGCTCTTTCTTATATGTTTTATATGTTATGTGTTGTAGAAATTGTTATGCACCATTTATTTTACAGATGCTTCTATGGGAAATCCTAAAACTAAAATGGATATAACTAACCTGAGTATCAAACGGGTAAAATGTGACGTCAGCATTGCAAGAGGTGTCAAAAACAGCTCCTGGTACAAATGTTGTATGCCCGGAGTTATATATCCTAATTGTCATCCAGTCATCTCCAAGGTCAGACAGCTTTGTGTACGGATTTGTGAGAACCAGTTTTGGATACCATACGTCGGATAACCTAAATAATGCTGAGTATGCCATTCCATAGTCTTTTGGATCCCAGGTAATGATTTGATCGTTCCATCCTAGTATAAGAAGACCATACACTGAAAACTTTGCTGCGACTTCGTTAAATTCTTGAATTGTTAATAAATAAAAAGAGACGGTGACGACTACCGGATGACTCTGATCTGACACTGGGCGTTGTCGGGCGTCATACCCGTCCAGTACATCGCGCATCAGGTCAACTGAATTGTTGTATGAAACACAATATGATATTCTTACTGATGATAAACACAGTAGTATAATGACAGCAACATGAACATATCTCATCCTGTCCGAATAAGAAGCCTTTTAAAACTGACAGTACAAATATTGTTAAAATATTTATAATACCAACTAAAATATGTTTGTATCCGTGCTTCTTTGTTGAAGTTCTAATGCCTTTTATTCAATATTATGTTGAAAATATAATTATTTGTCAAACAATTTGGACAAAATCCATGAAATGTTTATCATAACAAGTACACACTACCGTTAATAATTTCTCAAAGAAGTGCATTACGTTGATATGTGGCAACCTCTAACTTTCAAAATATCTATTGGGATTTAAAATTTAAAGGTTACGGACAAAATGTCTTACTATTGTAGTTTTATCGGTTTTCAAAAACGCTTCTATTGAAGTGAAAGGAGTTATTTTGTAATCGGATTGTTGTTCAAAAACTGTTCATTGTATGAAAAAAAAGAATTTATAGATAAATATTAGTAAATACAGGTAATTTAAGACGCATAGAAATGAATGGTTTAATTTGAGTACATCTTCGCACAGCAATAGAAAGCATATTGATTTATAGCCTAATTAAAAAGAAGTAAATACACTAATGAGAATAATGGACATTTTTTTCAGCGTGAGATATTTTTTGAACTTTTAGTAGATGTAGTTAACAAAATATATATGACAAAATATAGAAGGTAAGAAAAGCTATTATCAAACGGGATAATTGAAACTCTACAGTATTAAAAGAAAGGCTTGTACATTTTCATAAAATATCTGCTTTTCGTATGGTCATCCACACCGCCAAGAAACAAACAAACAAACATGTAAATACTACTGTATGCTGGACAAAAAAAATACTTTAAAAAAATCAAATAGTAGGCACTGGGAAAGATTCGATCGCCACTGTCTATCGAGTGTTGATTCAGGTTTCAAAATAAAGTTCGCCAGTTAAATAAATCGATCAGTAATGTTAATACTGCCAGCGGAGATAATTGTTTAAACAGTTATTATTACATTAAGGCGTAGACTTATCGGAATTGTTTCTCTTTAATGCGGCTTTTAAAGAATAACTAGAGAAATATTTTATAAAAATAAATTTCTATTTTGCCATGCAAGTAGGAACTCGTGCAATATTGTACGTATATACAAGCAAAA